CGTGCGCCTGCTGTCCCGGCGTGGCTGCCGCCTCTGCGACCGCGATTTCGGCCGCATCTGCCGGGCCCTAGCCGGAGCCACATCCCTGGCGCAGCTCAACCTTAACCTGGGCGTCGTGTCCAGCCCCAGCCGCATCAAACAGCTGGCGGAGGCGCTGCGGACCAACCGCTCCATCCAGTCCCTCTTGTGAGTGCGCCCCTCGCCAGGGGGTCCCGGCACTGCGCCCCTCTGCGCGCTCCCCTCCCACCTCCTGCCCCTCGCACCTTCCAATTCCCTTCCCGTCTTCCATCCCGCTGACCTTGCACCCCTGCCCGTGTTTCCACCACACCCTCCAAGGTTCGCCTGGTTTCTGGGCTTCTTGCAGCCCCACGAAGTGGTAGCCACCTCTGCCTGGCAGGACATATCCTGCCTCCCCCATCTTATCAACCTCCTTTACTTTGCCTGGGCGGTGCCCTCTTCCCAAAAAGCAACCCCGCCCCCACTCCGGTACTAGAGTCCTGTGCCTACGATTGTGCCCACTGGAAAATTCCAGGGCACCAACAGCACGCCCCTTCTCTGCTGCCTTGTGCAATACCCTGGATCCCAGTCCTTGCCCCAGAAAGAAAAACATTCCTCTTCTTGGTGTTCCTGAGAGTCCAGAATGTTCACCTCTCCTCCTCCTGGGCCTCCCAGGGAAGGTGGCCCTTTTCCACTGAAAGCTGGGGACTGAGTAAATGCCCTCCTGCCTCCCCCCAGCCTGCACGGGAGCCCACTGACAGATGCTGGGCTGGCCCTGCTGAACCCGGCCCTGGCTCTCCACCCTGCCCTCGTGGCTCTGGACCTGGGGGACTGCATGCTGGGTGATGAAGCCATCAACCTCATCTGTGGCCTCCTCCCTCCGGACGGGGCCAAGTCTGGTGAGCAAGGTGTGGGTTGGGGCAACCTGGATGGAAGCTAAGAGCAGGATCCCTCCTGGGCAGGGGTAAGGACATTGCAGGAAAGTGGGGACTGGGGATGGAGTGAGCTAGAGATTCAGAGTCCTCAGTGGCTCAGGCTCTGTGGGTGGGTTGGGGTAGCTTCCAGTCATTGAGGACACCCCAGATGACCAAGACATGGGGAAGGGCTGGAAGAGACTCTGACCCTCCCTACTCTGGCTTCTTACTGTGCTGCTGCCCAGGCCTGAAGGAGCTGACACTGAGCGCCAACCCTGGCATCACCCCCAAGGGCTGGAGCCGCCTGGCCATCGCTGTGGCCCACAGTTCCCAGGTCCGAGTCCTCAATCTGGACTACAACCCCCTGGGTGAGGCTCATGCCCTGCCCACCTGCCCAAGAACCTGGAACATCACTGCCATGGGAACCCCACACTGGGAAGCGGAGAGGAGGGAGGGCCCAGGTAGGGTCAGGAAGGGAGCTGTATGGACTTCTAGGTGACCATCAGGCAGGTCAGAGCACTAGCTAGCACCCCAGTTCCGGTCCCCTCACCACCCACCAACAGCCAGGGTCTCCTGAGGAGCCAGAGGTGGAGCCAAGGGTGGTTAGGGTGATGGGGAGGCTGAGGGAGATGGGGCTAACAGAGCATGAATGCAGGTCAGTGTGTGCATGTGCTGTCTCCCCAGGTGACCACGTGGCAGGGATGCTGGCTGTGGCTGTGGCCTCCAGCCGTACCCTAGAGGTCCTAGACTTGGAGGGCACCGGGCTCACCAACCAGTCAGCTCAGGTGAGAGGGTGTAATATTTGGGACAAGCAGGGGATGGGATGGACACACCTGAGGAAGAGCATGTGGGGTCTAAGGACCTGCCACAATCACATGGGTTCATCTTTTCCACCATTCCACCCCAGACCCTGCTGGACATGGTGGAAAATTACCCAACAGCCTTGCGGAGCCTGGTGTTGGCTGAGAACAGCATCAGCCCTGAGCTGCAGCAACAGATCTGTGACCTTCTCTCTGAGGGCGAGGAGGAGGAAGAGGTAGCCGGAGGGACTGGCAACACCCAGGAATGGGAACGAGAGAGGGAGCCTGCTGCCCACCTGAGGGGCAGCAGCTCCTGGATGTGCCCCGGTGGTAAGAACCAGAAGATTGGTCAGAGCCAAGTCTGGAGGATCTGGGAAAGGGAAGGTGGGTGGGGAATGGGGCGCCTCTCACCTTTGTGTCCCCACTGCGGCAAACACCCATGTGCAAACTCACATGCTGCCTTTCCACAGATGCCAGCTCACAGATGGTGCTAATGACATCAGGACTAGGGGACAGTCTGCTGGCTGAGACCGAGATGTGACTCTCCACTTGGGTTTCTCCACTTTGTGTCATTGTCTTTCTCTGCCCCCTAGTGCCTTCCCTGGATGGCAGGGACAGGCCCTGTGGCTTGCTGGGGCATGGGGGTGAGGGTGGCCCCGGGGCTCTGGCAGCCCCTGGCAGTGTGGGAAGCTCTGGAAGCCGTGGATGCCAACCACGTTGGAGGCACTGGAGCCCAGGGAAATGCCTCTGGACTCATTGGCAGCTCTGGCTGCAACCCCGCTGGCTCGGAAGAGATTTTATAAAATCTACAACTTGGTGTGAGGCTGTGGTCACTCACTAGGGGTGGCTGGGGGAAGAACTGGAACTGCACCTAACCACCACTAGGGGGCAGGGTCACCCCACAGCCTGAGCTCGTGTGTCTCCAGCAGGCCTGGACCAGGTCTAGGACCTGGGACTCCAGGGTGACACCTCACACAAACTCATGACAGTGAGGACCCTACTTCCAGCGCTGGGCTGAGGGAAGACCTTGTCCTGCTGGTTACTTGAAAGACCCTCTCCGTGTCCAGGGAAGCTCCAGGCAAGGTGGAAGGGGGTGGGTCACTGGCAAAAACTAAGGAAACACTAGGACCAGGACTATGCAAAAATGGGAAGAATTATGGGAGAAGGAAGGCCATTAAGCCAAGTGAAGTCATACCAGTAAAATAGTTTTATTTTAAAATATGTCATCAATGTGAAAATTTCCCAAAGCTGGGAGTAACAGTCTAGAGCCAAGGTTGGGAACCCTAACCCAGAGCCCAGCCTGAGGCCCCTGAAGCCCACACTCCTGTATCGAGAGGGGAGGAGCAGCGAGGGGAGCCCTGAGTCTCAGCTGTGCATCCTAGGGTGGTTGGGCCAGGTACCTGGAAGGCAGCAGCTTGTGCAGAGGAAAACAGAAACCAGAGGTTAACCCCAGCGACAGCCCAAACCAAGCCTGGGAACACAAAGGGAGGATAGGATGAACACTGATGAGCCCCTTGGTGCCCCAGAACAATCCAACCTGGGCTGGGAAGGGCCTGAGAGCCACCTGCAGTTACTCTGGAGAAAAAATACTCCAAGACAAGGACAAAGTCATGAAGGAAGCAGGCTGGTGCCAGTGTCGATGCAGCTGAAAGGCCTGGCATAGCCTGACGCTCATATGGAGCCAAACTGTGCAAATCAGAAGAGACCAGGGCCGGGCTCTGCAGGATGCCTGCTCCAGGCCAGGGCCCGGCTATCCTCAAGGGAGGGTGGCCTAACTGAGCAAGGTGCCCTGCTCCTGGGCCTGGGTTAGGCTGTCCTTGCGATGAAGGTGGTGTACCCCCATCCTCTTGGGGCTGCGCTGGGGGCGGCTGGAGCCAGGGAGTGGCCAGGCCCTGCTCTCAGTATGCAAAGCACCAGGCCCCTGCTCTGTCTCCTTGTCCCCAGCCAGCAGACTCTGACACTCTTCCTCAGGGCTGACGGGCAGGTTGAGAACTTCCTCTTCCTCCTCCTTGGGGGAACCAGGGTTAATTTCCATTGGCTGCAGGACGCCACTCTCATCAGGTGGGGCAGAAGGTGTCAGAATCACCTCATCTTGATCAACAGGGCTAAGCGCAAAGTGACGCTGCAGCTCAGGGAGGGCATCTCGGCCAAAGGCCGTGCGCTGGACCACAGCGGTGGGCGGTGGAGTGCGGTCCACAAATGCCCGCTGCCAGCTGGCCAACAAGTCTTCTTCAGAGCTAGTGGTGCTGGCCAGGTTGCTGGGTGCGGGAGCTGTCGGGCCAGGTTGGTGGTGTGGGGAAGCCTGGGCAGAGGCAGGGCTGCCGGGCTCAGGGCTGGGGTGGGCCCATTCACTGCTCTCCTCTACCAGGCTCAGAGAAATGGCCTGGCGTGTGGCGTAGGTGCAATTGGGCAGCGGGCTGTTTCGAGGGATGCGGACCTTATCCTCAGAGAACTCTATCACCTTGCGGCCAGGGTACAGTGGGTGTGGCAGGGATGGGGTAGGGTAGGGACTCAACTTCTCAAAGGCTGGCAGGGACTGCTCCTCTTCAGGGGAGCCCCCTCCAGTACCCAGAGAGTGGCACTCGCCATTGGGCTGGGGAAGAGGACTGCCAGGGCCTGGGGGACTGGCCGTGTCCCCTGGGCCACAGCCACTCATGTCCACATGCACAAAGACATCCTCAGCCAAGGGCTGCCCAGCACTGCCTGATTGGGCAGAATTAAGCAGCAGGGACTCTGGCTTCTCCAGCACTCGGGCAATGATGGAGGTGGGCACCACAGCCCCCGGGGCTGGCCTGGGAACAGGACCCAGGCTGCCAGCCTCAGTGCTGCTGTGCAGGTGTTTCCGAACCATGTCCTGCAGCTCACAGGGCAGCTGAAAGAAGGAAGAGTAGCATGAATGGTCTCAGCTGAGGCCAGCTGGACCACGGTGAAATCAATGGGTCCTGGGCACATGTGCTTTCTCCCTGTGACTGCAGGCTCAGCAGCAGAAAATAACTGCAGCTTCTGATGAATACAGCAAGGATTCAAACCCAGACCTGCTGGTGAGGCTGTGTGGTCTGGAGCTTCTTACTCCCCCACCTCAGCATGTCCTCTGCTCCAAACCCTCCGGACTGTGGCCTGTGGCTCTGCGGTCTACAGTCTGCCTCATGCAATAACAGGAGCAACACCAGTGGCCAATAGCTCTGGCCACCCCCCATTCCCACACAGGCTCAAGCTGAGTCCCTATCATAGAAACCCAGCCCCTTGCACAGTGACAGCCTGGTTGTAAGGCAGAATGGAGGTAGGAGGCCTAGGTGGAGGAGAGGCTAAAGGCTAGGGACAGAGCTGGGGTGGACTGGAAGGCCATGCTGGCCAGTGCTGGCAGGGGGCGCTGTACTCACGTCAGCAAATTTGTGGCTGCGGAAGTGGGACTTGTTGCACTTGAGGAGCTGCACTGCCAGGTTGCAGTCCAGCCGGTACCGCTCCTGCACACAGAGCGACCTCAGAGCTGGCCAGCCGCACCCTCCTGGGGCCAGCCCAACCTAACAGGGACAGGGAGGCCATGCAGGGCTGGTGACCTACGTTGAGCTCCTCCAGCCTGTTGATGGTGTTCCTGGCGTCCAGCAGCTTGTTGGTTAGCTCCACGATCTCCCAGTCCAGCGTCTTTCTGTCCATCTCAGCCTTCTGGATCTGAGGCACAGAGGAGTGGTAAATCTAGCCCAGGCAGGCATCCCTTCCCCCACCCCATCCGACCTCCAGCCCAGACACATGAGGCACAAGTGCCAGGGCAGCCAAGGCAACAGAGCGGACAACTGACGGACAGACAGGAGGAGACTGGGCACTGCTCCTGTTCTGCGGGCCAGCCAGGGTGAGGCCCATGACAGAAACAGTCTAGACCTGTCTATGGGGAAAAGAGTTTCAGGGACTCTGGGCTCCTAGCAAGGCTGCAGGGACCCAGGGGCAGAAACTGCATCAAGGGCAGAAGCTGTGAGCAATGTTTGTTTTCAGCGAGCCCAAGAAGAGGCAGGAGGGAGCAACCAGGCACAACTTGGATGCCTAGGGGATGATCTGATTGGAGGCTACAGGCTCCAGTCGCCTCTGATCCTTGGCCCATGGAATGGAGCCAGGGTCCACTGCCCTGGTGGCGAGCAGTCGGTGTTCAGGGTGATGTTGGGGCAGGAGCCATAGCCCTAACTACTCAACAGGCCTTGTGCAGGGGAGGACAGGACAGGGGTCCTCAAGGGGCAGAGGAAGAAAGCCGGGGCCTCGTGGTCCTGGACCCAGGCTGAGGCCAACACAAGGGAGGAAACACAAACTCAGACGCAACTGCAAAAATCCAGCTGTGGCTAAGAGAGGCCTGAGAGGAGAGGGCAGCAGCAACGATGGCAGCATGAGGGGGAGACGAGGAGAGAAGAGAAACAGTATGAGCATCACAACAGTCCCACCTCGCATAGCACACTATGGTTTCCTCCCTACCACGCCCCTCACCCCGCCTCAGGCCCCAGGCCAGAGGGCTCCCCAAAGGAAAGTCCCAGCCCCTGTCCCGAAGCACAGTGCCAGACCAACTGCCCACCCTGGTGGCAGAGTACCAGTGCATGCAGCTTGTCCTCCAGTTCCTGGTTGGTCCGCTGGGAGGCTGTGTAGCTGTTCTGCAGCCTGTGGAGGGACACGAAGATGCCTGGTCCAGACCTGCTCTTCCCGCCCTGCACAGCCCTCCTCTTGCAGGCTCCTGGGCAGAGCCCTCTCCAGCCACAACTTCCATGTTCTAATCAGCACAAGGTCACGTCTGAGGCCTCTTCCAGCTAACCCATGCATGGGGAGATGCTCGTGTGCAGGTCTTGCCCCTCTTCCCACACCTGCGGAACTTGTCCTTAAACTTGTCCAGCTCCTCCCGGCTCTGGCCAAGCTCCATCTCCAGGCAGTCTTGCCCGATTTCCAGCTCCCGCTCAAGGGACTCGGTGCGTCGGGTGGCCGAAGCCAGGCGCCGGCGAAGCTCTTCATTCTCCTGCTGCAAAAGCCTGTGAATGGGGGTGCAGAAAGGGCATCAGAGAGAAGGGCAGGCAACAGACAGGAGGATTCTTGGGATGTTGGCCTGGGTCTAGGGCAGCACATGCCACAAGCCCAGGAGCACAGACTGGGTTGAAGAATGGGAAAGGTATAGGGAACAGCAGAGGACAGTACTCTCTGCCCCTACCCCCTGCAGAACAACAGGACAGGACTGGGAAGGGGGGCACAGCTCCCAGCCTATCTCTGGTTACTGCCAGAGCCAGCCAGCCACCAAGCCCCTGGCTCCAGTTTCCCCCTGCACAATCAGCTTCTCCATTATTAATCCCTTGGAAATCCAGTCCAGACCTACCCTCCTCTTCCGGGGCCTCATGGGGCTGTCATAGGGAGGCAGCTGGCACAGGAGCTCCTTGGCAAGAGCAGGCCCCTCCCAGCCACCCACTTCCTCATTCCAGGGCCTCATGGGGCCCACAGAACAATAAAACCCCACTTCACCCACAAAAAGTATCTACAATAAATATCAAGCTGCCTTCCAGAATCCCTGAGAAACCCCATCCCAACTCTGACTTCTGCTTAAACCAGGGAAAAGCCTGACTGTACAATAGCCTTGCTGGGAGCTAAGCGGACACAGTCTGGACAACACAGCATCTCCGGCAGCCATACTTACCTCATCCTCTCTGCATCCGTCAGAAGCTCCTAGACAGAAGAGAACAGAAGACTGAGGTTCAGCTCCAGATCCTGGCCTGCTGGGCCCTTCTGAAGCTCTGCAGACAAAGGCTGCAGGGCCATCTAGAGATGGATGCCACCCAGTAATCATCCTCTCCCGTGCCAACCTTCATCCTCACTCCTACATCCACTTTCAAGTGGGTCCTGGTACCATGCCACCTCCTTCAAAGACAGCCTCTTAGCTGTCCATTGGGCTCCTGAGCTCAGCCACCACTCAGCACAGCAGGGACCTCCAGGGAAGTGAAGACAGGCCAGGCCATAGAATCCCAAGCTCTGGCAGAGCCCTTCCAGGGCCTTGGAGGCTCAGTGAATGGGCAAATCCTGACAGTAGAGCATCTTGTGGGGCTTTTAACTCCAGCCCGCCCTCCCCCAGTCCCCATGGTGGTCATAGCCCAAGAGCCGGAGCTCAGCCAGCCAGACAGCGAAGGAAACATCAAGGACCTGTTCAAACAGACCTGCTGCTTCAGAGCTGCAGCTGTGGGCAGGAAAGAAGGTGGCCCAGAGGATGGACTCATGCGTCCTTGACAACTGGATCTGACCCTGTCTACCACATGTTGGTTACACAACCTCACTGAGCCTGGGGTCCTTCATCTAGAAAACCAGGACAATGCTCACTACATAGGAATTAGCATAAGGCTGTTTGTTTTTTGTTTTTTGTTTTTTTTCTTTGCCATTTTGGAAGTTGAACCAGGGCTTTCACACTAAGCTACATCCCCAGCCCTTTTTGTTGTTTTTTTGTCTTGTTTTGAGACAGGGTCTGGGTAAGCTGCCCAGGCCAGGCTTGAACTTGTGATCTTCCTGCCTCAGCCTCCCAGAGTGCTAGGATTACAAGCCTAAACCACCAGATCCAGCAATAGCTGGCATTTTTATCTGAGGTTCTCTGCCCTAAATCTATCCCATGGGCTATGACATGCTGATGCTCATCTGGTGACTGCCTTCCTGGTCCTTTAAATATTCCATGCATGGCAACAGAACTGCCAGGAACCCAGCGAGGGAGGAGACCCCAAGGGAGTGAGCTGTGACTGTAGGCCTCCTAGGAGCACAGCCTGGTCCCAGCAGGAAATGCATACATAGCATGCACAAGCCAAACAGCACAGCTGAGGAAGCGTGCACTTCCTGCAGACGAGGCAGAGCAGCTGCGCTGATGGGAAGCAGCTGGAGCACTGCATCCTTCGCAGCCCCAAAGGGGCCACCACTTGCCTACAGGGACCCAAGCCCAGCCTCCAGCAGACTGGTCTATCCTGCAGGGGCAGCAATGCAGCCTAGGGTCATTACCATGCAGCTGACATGCAGCCCCCCAGACCCTTGCACCCCCACACTAGCACGGCTGCTGCTAGGGCCTCAGTGCCACAGCACCCCTGCCCCTGCGCCTGCAGTGCCACAGCTCAGCCCCACTCAGGAGACCTGCAGCTCAAGTATGGGAAGACAGCCAGACACCTGCCACAGGGCCTGCCTTTGCCACCAGTCCCACTGACCTCCTGCTCGAGCCGGGACCCAGGACCCTCCAAGCGCAACTCCCGGTGCTCTGGCGGGGCCTTGCGGTAGGGCTTCTTGGCAGGGGCTATGCTGGTCATTCTGGGAGGTGCAGGGGTCCTCTGCCTGCTGAGGGAAGCGAAGGAAGAAGAGGCTCACAGAAGGGCAGAGGCCTCTGGATTGACACAGATGACATGTATGACTGATGGCCACACATGTAGGATGCAGGAGCCACCATGCAGGCAGCCAGGCCTAGGCCACTCCTGGGGTCATAGTGGGGTGGGGTGGAATGGACTTCAAGGTTAGTCCTCTGGGTAGGGGCAGTGTGGACAGCAGTGCATGGCCCCATTGAGGAACAGGCAGGTGGGACAGGAAGGGCCCCAGGACCAGTGAACTCTGCTCTGAGAGTGGAACAGAAGCCCAAAAGCAGCACTGCACCCTTCACTGGGGACAGAAAGGGAAAATTGCTCCTTGTGCAGCTGCTTCCTCCACACCAAACTGGGCGAGAGCAAGCCACCCTGCAGGGCTGCTGTGAAGATGTCACAAGGTGCCAAGAGCAGTGTGGGGCACTGGAGAAATGCTCAGTAAGCATTTGCTTTGAGAAAAGGTAACGGTTTGAGGATTTTCTCCCAACCCAGCTACTCAGTAGGATCTCCCAGCTCGAGAGCACTCTCTGGCCTCCGCCAAGATGGACACCTGCCTGCCCCCTCGCCTGCCAGCCATCCAGGAGAGAGCACGTGGGGCACAGGCTGAGCGGGGACATACCGTCTGGGCGCCAGCAGCTCGTTCTGTTCCACCCTGTGGGAGTCAGCCCTAGGCTCTCCGCATCTCACGGCCCCTCTACTTCCTCCAGCCAGGGACTCCTGAAACCAGAGAAGGAAAGAAAGTAGAAACCAGGTGCCAGCCGCCTGTCTGTCAGCACCACGGGCCTGCCTGCCAGGCTGCAACTTGAACAGGTCCCCAGGGAGGGCCAGGCAGGGAAGTCAGGAGACAACTGAGGCACCGCTTCCTGTCTCTCTGCATTGGAGTTGCTTGTGTCTGTGCATAAGCAACATTTCAGTTCACCGCAGGACCAGCTCTGTCCTGTCCCCATCCCTCCTGTATCTGTCCTACTCATCTGCCAGGCCTCTGAAGAGTCTGGAAACAACTCAGAGCTCCAGAGAATGTGGATCTCAAACAGGAAAGGCCTTGGGGAGACGCAAGAAAATGGGCAGAGAAGCTGGAAGGTAGCTCGTGGCAGCCTTTCCACAGGAGCACAAAGGCCACATCTGCATGATGGCAGCCAACGGACTTGGTAATAAGAAAAAGCGAGTCCAAGAGAGAAGACCGAAGGACAGCACTTCACAGACAAAGTTCTCACCAGGCAATTCCGCCTGGCTGTTCTCTAGGGACACCTGGCAAATGCCTGGAGAGAGTCTGAACTGGCATCTAATGGTGGAGGCCGGAGATGCCACCAGCCAACCATTAACACACAGGACAGCCCCACAACACAGAAGCATCACAGAAAAGGTCAACAGCGTACAGGGAGCAATCCTGGCATGGAAAGCCCAAGTTCAGGGATACTCTGGCACACAGGAGCCAACTCCCTACCTCACTAAGCCTGCCCTGCACCCACGACAATGGACAGTGGCCCCTCCAGTTCTGCCCAAAGCCCTGCAGTGAGCCAGGCTGCAGCAGGGGGGCAGCCACCACCACCTCTGTGATCCCAGTAGGCAGTAACCTCAGGTGGCCTTCTAGGCTTAAAAACAACCTCTTCCTGATGCCATCCATTCACCTGAGCAGACCGGGGCTGAGGAAAGCCTTGCAGGCAAAAGCATGTGTTCCCACTGTCGGGACATGCCCTGGCCGTGACTCCTGTCACATTCCAGCAGGCCTGGGGCAGGAAGCATGCTTCAGGGCAGGCAGGCAGGAGTGGTCTCCTTCCTCTGTCTGATCCCCGGACTGGGGTTTTGGGGGGAGCTGGGGTGTGGCAGCACAGGCACGAGCCGCCAGCCTCCGCCCCTTTGACAGGAGGCAGAACGTGTCCCCACAGGGCACAAACAGCAAGCTGTGTTGGGCTGACTCCCTGCACAGGAATCCAGGCAGGGCTGAAAGGACAGTGCATTCCTGGGGTGTGGGGGAGCAAACAAGTCACTGCCACAGGTCCCCTGGGGTTGTCCCCAGAGGGCCCCAGGGTAAGGGCTCCTTTGGCCTGAGGAAGAGGCCTAGAAAAGTCTTAACAGCCCTGGTCCCTGGGCCAACACCCCACCATGCATGTGGGGGTGTGGCAGGGACAGGGCACTGAGAGGCAGGCAGTGCAGAAAGTGGATACCCAGGTGCAGCTCCAGGGTGCAGTCTCTGTGGTCTCCCTTCTCCACGGAAGATCTGACCCCTTCTTTCCTCCTCTTCCCTCCTACCAATGAGGAAGCTTCTCTCTGCAGCACATCTGTGTGCTCTGTCCTGTCTTTAGTCTCTTCTTTACCTCCCTGTTCCTGCTCCTGCCAGGAGCACCAGGACCTGTGTGAGCTGTGGGTGGACAGGAAGATGGGGCACGCTCAGATCTGCCGCTCTCCTGTATTGAGAGCCACCTCACAGCAGGCCCCACGCATCCTCCAGCTCCCTCGGCCTCACTCTGACCCGAAGTCCCCACCTCCCAGCCAGGGCTCCCAAGAGCACTTAATTATTCCCAGGAGAGTCTGGGAGGGTCAGGGTTAGTGGGGAGACAGGGCAGGTGGGACTGGCACTAAGATGGGTAGGAGCTGCAGATGGGGGCTTTGTGTGGGAGGTCCGTCTCCAAAAGTGTCAGAGGCATAAAAAGGGACACACCCAAAGCCTGAGGGAGATCTGAGCCACTCCCTGCCCCATACCTGTAAATACCAGGGTGCAAGGCACCCAGGCCCTGGCTCCCCAGCTCAATTTCCAACATCTGCTAAGTGCTCTGAATCAGCTCACCTCATAGGGGTGGGGGGCGCACCAGGTGTGACAGCACTTACAAAAGAGGGTGACACAGGACTGGAGCACAGGGAGCAACAGAGGCCCAACTGGGAGAAGCAGTGAGCTGGATGGCACAGGAACCATCCGCCAGGAAGTCAACTACCAGGTGTGACCCCTGAAGGCTTCCCAAGGTGGCTTGGAGGACTACAGCCCAAGAAGGGAGCCTGATCCTATATGGAGGGGAGGGTCCCAGGGAAGCAGCGGAACAACCAATAATGGGCCATAGGTCATGAGAAGCAAGCTCGGGCCGACAGCCTGGGGGCCCATGAGCTAGGGATTTAAGAGTGTGCAGGAGGGCACCACGGAAATGGCAAGGCACAGGGAAGACCCCTGCTGTCCTCCCCACACAGCCTGAGCCTCAGGACCTGGGGTGGAGGACTCAGGATGTAAGGCTGTGTACTGAAACAAGGACAGCCATGCCTTGGGAGAAGGGCGAGGCCAAAGGGAGCCCTAGCTGACCCAGCCTGGCCTGTGGCTCTTTGGACTAGACCTGCTGACACCATCCAGGGAGCCACCCAGGGCAGCAGCTGTCCTCCTCGCCACCAGAAGACAAAGTGAGGGGAAAGGGACACTACAGGCCCTTACCTGGCCTGAGCCCGCCTCCTTCCTTGCTGCATAGTATTCATTCCTCCTTAACTCAGAATGGATCCCAGGAGAGGCTACCTCTAGCTGCCCGGGCGGGGGCGATGGCTCCCTAATTGCCATGTTGAAATCTGCCAGTCATGCAGGCCGCCTGTTGCCACCTGCCCCACATTAAATACCTTCTCCCTGATTACAGCCCATGGGACACGATTAGCTGCCTTCCAGAACAAAGTCTACTTTCATTAAGACTGGGACTCAGCACGCACCGAAGAGCTGAGCAGTGTGTAGGCAGAGACAGACGGTGAGACCCACACCATTAGCTGGTTGAGCAGCGTCCTTTACACAAAGGACAAAAGTGCCAGGTACCACTCTGACCAGGAGCTAAGACTCCTACCTGGCCCCTCCAGGTATATGCCTGTAACCTCCAGGGTCAGAGATGGCTGCCATGGGAGCCAGAGGACAGGAGAGGAGCCTCTTCAGAAGAATCCGACTCTCTCCAAACCACTACCTACACCTGCAGGAGGAAACAGCAAAGAAGTCCCAGGACCAGAAGCCCAGCTGGCCTGCACTCCCTTCTGCTGTCCCCTGAGCGTCTGCCCAAGGCCCAGGAGAGGAAGGGAGGGCTGAGCACCTCACATTCCTCCTGTGAGGGCTCAGAAGCCAGCTGCCTCCCAGCACTGTCCATGACAGGGAGACAAGACTGAGTTCATGAAAGTCTCCTCCGGCCACACTCTACCCATCAACACTCCCTTTAGGAAATCATGCCAACCAGGTGTGATGGTACACATCTGGGATCCCAGCACTCTGAAGATGGGAGGCAGGAAGATTTCACGTTCAAGCACAACCTGGGCAACTTAGTAAGTCCCTGTCTCAAAATTTCAAGAAAGGGATCAGAATGGCATTCAGTGCAAAGGTCCTGGGTTCAATCCCCAGTACAATAGAGAGAGGAAAAGAAAAAGAAAAGAAATTATGCCCCATCAGTTTATCTGGGTTCAGATTATTTCCAAGCCTGCTGATAAGGCTTTCTGCTTATAGCTGTCAATAAATCAAGCAAGTGAGGGACCTTGAGGAGTCAATGAACCCAATCATCTGACTCACATATCAAGAACTCACATATCAGCACAGAAATCATTAAAGCTCAAGGAAAGTCCAATGGAAGTTAAAAATCACTTCTGCTTATAAAATGAAAGGGAAAACCCACCCTACTTCAGAACACACCAGCTATACAAGATGCTGCCCAACTGGGAACCCAGGATATAATTAAAACAAATACCAGCCCTTCTGCCAAACCCTCATCAGCCACTAGAACACAACTAGACTGGTCACAAAGACTGCAGCATGGTCCTGAGTATAATGGCTGGACTCAGTCTTTGTGACCTGAGGAAAATGGGGACTTTGGGGTAGGCTACACTGTGGGAGTGGCTACTCCTCACATTTCTGAAATCCAGGCTCTGCCTCCCACTAAAGCTAAGGGCCAGCCCTGTGACCAGGTGAACCCACAGTGGCGTAGAGACTGCCCATGAAGACTGCCATCCCCTACACACACCATACTTGCACAGCCCTCTCTACCCTGACTGTGAAAGACAGAAGCCTCTCCTACCAGAGCTGGGCCCAGCCTCCCTCACTCCCCCAAATGCTCCTCCTGCCTGCCACCAGCCCCGTTTCTGGCACACAGCTGCTCCCAAGATGCATGAGCAAAGCCCTCAGCAATCCTGGGCGCGTGGCAGGTAGGCAGCCAATAGCTCTTGGGTGGAGCCTGGGCAGAGGTTCTGCTCTGGGTGGATGACTAGGCTGGAAGATGCCAGTCTGTGCCCAGACCAGCCCTGCTGCCCCTCCAACAACTATCCCTGCCACCCCCTCCAGGCAAGTACAACCTCACCTTCTTGGGACATGCAGCCTGCAGCCCTGGCCTGGCCCTCTGCCCACTGGTAACCTAAACAGAAGACTGATAGGGTTTTGAAAGCCAGAGGGTGGAACCATCCTGCCCCAGAGCAATCCTGAGGATGCAGAATGGGTGCTGGTGACCGAGAGCTCACCTGGCTCCCTCCTGAGCAAACACTCCAGTCCACCCACCTGGCTTCAAATCCAGGCAAATATGAAGCAGAACAAAGGGGCAAAAGGGGCTGAAGAGACTGAAGATGTCCGCACATTAGCCCCTCCCCCAATAAAGCAAAGGCCAAAGCCCCCATGTCCATGGCCAGCATCTGGCATCTGACTCTGTGCCCAGGCCTCCACTCTAGGCTCTTGCTTTCCTGGTCAGAGGGGGAAAAAAAAAATCCAGCCTGCTCCCTCCCTCCCCAGGGTCCAG